TGGGCTTTGGGTCTCCACTCCGCACTCCCTCTATCATTCACTATGGTAAGATTTTTTGTTCTGATGATGCCTTACACCTGATCCCTTCGACACCCCGTGATTGCACAGTCTGGTGTGCTTCCTCCATGTGGGCTTTGTTGCTTCTGAGATAGATGGCCACTTGTTTACCTTCAAGCCTTTAAGACCCCAGATGCTATACCTTTTGATAACCTGGCTCAATATTATAAAATGTTTAGCCCATTTTCCTAAAGCCACTAGGTTTTTTTCATTGGTTCATTGGTAGTGGGGGGGTAGGGGGGTCCTTCATATTTACTAAAAGGGATAGAGAATTTCTTGGGAGAATCTGTGCAATAATGTGCTTTATTTTCTTGATGTGAAAAAACATACTTTACTGCCATTGAGTCAATTCTGACTCATAATGACCCTGTAGAACAGGGCAGAACTGCCCCCTTAGGGTTTCCAAGACTGTATCTTCTTCCAGGAGTAGAAAGTCTTCTCTTTCTCCCAAGAAGCGACTGAGAATTTCAAACTGCTGACATGGTGGTTAGCACCCCAATGTGTAACCCACTACGCCACAAGATACTCGTTAATCAGAGGTCATTCTATTTAAATACACATCAGCTACCATAAGTCCGAGTCACAACAACAACATGAAATGCTGACATCAGGTTCATCACAGCCTATGTCTCCTCTGATAACCCACACATTTCTCACTTTGGCACACTTTGCTCTGCCTGTTTCTAATGAAGGAGCTCCTTTTCCTTACTCAGCAAAGTCTCTTGCCGAAATGTTCTCTATCTTGGTAGTATATTCACAAGTCACTTGCTGCTTCTTCAAAAAAAATTTTTTTTCTTTTTCCCTTTCTTCACACTAGTCTACTGGACTTGCTGATCACAAAGCTGGCTGAGTTCAGTGATTTCCGTCAGATCAGAAAACCTTGCCTGACTTCTTATAACCCTGTTCCTGAACATAGAGACACAACTAGATAACTCACTTAAACACCTGAGGAATTCCAGAGGCAGAATAGTTGCGTGCCACATAAAAACTTTGTCAGCTCGGTGGCAGACCATGGCTAATAGTTATGATGTATCTCAAGAGGTAGTACCAGTACTTCTCCCATCTACTCCGTCACAAAACAGAGAGCCACAGAGCTGGAAGAGACCTAGCAGGGAAATTATGGAGAGATTTTTTATGTAGAACTTCTGAATTGTCATTATAATCGGACTAGTAGATGATCATTTCCTGAGACCGACCATCTGCTCCTCAAGTTATAAAATAAGGTAAAGAAAATGTAAAAGCTCTAAGGCTCTGAAAGTTAAATTCTCATTTCTACTATACCTCTATTATTTTGTGGGGGATGGCCAGACAATCAAGTAATGTTCTTCTTAGACCTCAATTAACGTATGCTGGAACACTGTAGTCTTCAAGCTTGAATAGTATAAATTAAAATTTTCTCGCTTGTTAATACCAAGTAATATTTACATAGACCATCTAAATTAGTCCACGTCAATGTTTTTGTTCTAGATGACCAGAGTATCTAGGAAGAACAGGGTATACTGCAAATACCCAGTCTTCATTTTAAAGTGCATCTGTCCTACTTGTTTTATAATCATCATTTTCAGGGATGCATTACTAACCTCTCACTTCCCGTTGCTGATATTCTCTGTTTTTCAGAATGGGGTGTGCAATCCACATCCAGGGATGATGCTTGCGGAGTTGAGGGAGCATGTAATGCACGAGGAACCCCACAGTGGCAGCCAGGGCAAACAGCACAATGCTGAGAAATGGCTGTGAGGAGAGAGCACAATTTCCTTATTTCATTTAGAAAGAGAAAGCAAGGGATGGCTATAGATTATATGTGATGCTGTTATCCTTCCCTTTTCTCCCCTCTTAGAGAAACAAGTTCAGTTGTTTCTGGTCTCTGAAGTTTCTTCTGTTTAGAGGCATCTGATTTGGGGGTTGAGACGTTCTAATTGGGGTGAAGAACTGGCCTATGAGACCTATTGAGACCTCAAAAAGTTTGCCCATTGGCATATGGTTTTTGTTTGTTTTCTTAGAAGGAGAAGTGGAGCTGGAGAAATTTAGGTAAAAGGCATTTCCTCATTGAAAGCCCCTTTCAATAATGGTCCATAGAGGGACACTTCTATTTCTTCATAGAGAGAACTGTATGTAAGCCCTCGAAGGCAGCTATCCCCTGTGGAGCTTCCCACATCTCCACTTTGGCCTTTCTAGCCGAAAACCTGGTTCCAGCAATCCTTTTGGATTGTTGAGCCTCTTCTCATCTCAATGTATACCTTCTTGGAAGACCACTCTTTTCTCCTTGAATTATGGTCCTACACCTTTAGCCCATTTCATTTCTATTATCCATCATCACAGTGTACTACAAAAAGATGTTATTACTTTATAAACCAAGTACTCCCAGAGTATGATCAAAAGACCCAAGTCTGGGTTTCAGACCAGATCCCATTTTGGACATAATGCTTAACACCATGAAACTATAAATCTTGTTTTTGTTTTCTTCCTCTGACTCATCTCTACTCTGGCTATCACCAAAACCCTATAGCTCCACAATAAGTTCTGTTATTAAAGACAGCATGGACATGAGTATACAATTGAATGGATACCTACACGTAAGGAGAGGAACACAGTGCTGGCACTGACTGCAAACGAGAGGACAGCAACCACTGAGCAAACAATGAGATCCGACTGTAAGACGTCCTTCTGGAAAGAGAAGTGAAATGGAAAGTCTGCTGTTCGTCTTTCTCTCAGAGAGTCTGTGTAACCAACTCTTATAAACCACCCTTTCAGGCCTTGTCTAAACCGAATGGAACTCATTGGATAGAACATTTACTATCTTCCCTCTAGGAATATCCAGGGAGACCAAAGAAAAGGGTGGTGGAAAGAAATACTAATTTTGGTGTACAGTATCTAACCATAGACAAAGAAAGGTACACTACTTGCGAGAGATAGAAAGTTCTCCTCCACAAACGTAGATTAAATACAAGATTGCCAGAGAGCTCCCAAAAGAGACCCTAACTTTCTGAGGTCTCTTATAAGAGGGTAACCCATGAGATAATAAACTCTACTTCCTTCAGGGTAACTTAGATTTTAATAGGCAAATAGTCTGAGTGTGCTGAGCAGAAATTCACAGTGTATGGACATTTTGCTGAGGTCTCTAATGGGTTTTATATTTTAACTCACCAGTCACAGGAGGTAAAGGACATCTCCAAATTGTTGATCTATAAACAAACAGACAAACAAAACACCCTACCTAAACTCTGTCATCAAGTTGATTCTGCCTCATGGAAACCTATACAGAGCTTCGGAGACTAAAAATCTTAACAAGAGCAGATAGCTTCATCTTTCCCCCAAGGGGCAGCCAGTGGGTTTGAACTACTGACTGTGGGGTAAGTACCCCAATGTCCAACCCACAGTGCCACCAAGGACATATATATGTATATATATGCAGAAAATTAATTTTTTTAGAAACTTGCTAGTAATTTTCTATCACATAAAAAAGTGGTATAAGCAGGGGTTTGGGAAAATAAAGTTAGACACAGGAATGGCATTCCAATAGAACAAAATCTCAACTATATTTGATAGTTGGCGGATATATTTAAAATGGACCTTAGGGGATACCCAATTATTTTCATTACATAGATCAAGAATAGCTGTAGTACACAATTATTTAATCTTTTTAAAGATCACTGTTACCAGAAAATTCTAAAACCATCAATGCATTTATGCCTTATTTTTCCACAGTGGGGTCATGACGTAGGCACCAGGTTATCCACTATCAGAAAGAGGAATCTCCTTTGAAATAATAGTTCTGACTCTTATCCATCAGAAAATTATCTGGTAAGACACACCACTGTTTCACCCCCAACTTTGGATGTTTCCGTCTCATTTCTTCTTTTTAAAATTAAAATGAAGAGTGTCTTACAAGTAATGCTGCTTGCTTGCCCACTGTAGTAACATTCAGAGTTATAGGGAAATATCAGGAAGAACAGTTTCAATGGAGTATTCAACCAAGATTTGGTTACAGTACTTAGTAGTAGTAAAATTAAGGGATACATTCTCAAAATCAACTTAACAATTAACTCATAAGAGTTGTTTTGAATTTTGTCTCAAAATCTCACCATTCACTAGCATGGCCATGGAGTCGATGTGGGCTCATAGCAACTGGATAGGACAAAGTCAAACTGCCCCTGTAAGTTTCCATGACTGTAACTCTCTTCAGGAGTAAAAAGCCCCTTTTTTTTCCTCAGAGATGGCTGGTGGTTTCAAACTGTTGACCTTGCAGATCGCAGCCCAATTCATAACCACTATGCCACTATGCCACTATGCCACCAGTGCTCCAACCATTCACTATAGCTAGTTAATATGGAACAGATAATATAATGACAAACCAAGTATCCTAATTTTTTCTTAATATTGCTCATTTGATCTGTGAGTAGGGAAAATCACTAGTTTTCAGTTCTGAATCTATAAAAATGTTATAATCAGAGGTTTTTACCAAAAATTTACTAGTAGTAAAGGTCAAAATCTGGTTTCTCCTTTCACTCCAAACACAAACGATTAGATCTATCACTAAAGATAATGCTGTAATTCACAGGGAACACTATAATTCACAGATGATGCAATGGGTTGTGCGTTAGGATGTTAACCACAAGGTTTTTGGTTCAAACCCACCTGCCACTGTGCAAAAGGAAGATGAAGCTGCCAGGTTCCATATAAATTGAATCTTACTGTCTACTCATAAAGGATCTCTATAGATTGAAATAGATTCCATGGGAGTAAGTTTGGTTTGATTTTGGTTTAGGACGTGAAGTTGTTACTTTTTCTTTCAATTTTTCATGGATGGAATTTTCCATTTTTATGCCAATTAAAAATATTAAATGTTTATCCAAAATATATTTTTTCAAATATTCTAATTTTAAGAGCGTCATCTTAAATTGATCGATTTTTCATGTCTAAAGGACATAAGGGTAATTGGCAGGTGGATGGGGGTGCATTTCTAGGTTTCGCATAACAGGAGAAAGAGTATGCTCAAATTGTTTTTGATATATATATTTTTCATACAGAAATATCAGTGTGATTATTGCCAATATTATGGCACTACTTATAAATATAAATCCATGCACAGCCTTTCTCAGCTTATTATAGTGTTCTTTCTCCCCATTTCTTTTCTGAACTTTAATTTGCTCCTTGATTTCTGTTTTCTTTTTTTTTTTTAAGACAAAATTTCATTTATTTGTAAGTAGAAATAAATATTTCACAATTTAAAAAAAGAAAAAGAAAAAATTTAAATACCTAGCAATCAGTTTAAATAAAAATCATGTGAAAACTACAAAGAAAACTTAAAACATTATTGAAGGATACAAAAGAGGAATTGATCAAATTGAAATACATGGCACATTCTTTTATATAAATGTAATTTTTTAGATTCAGAAATATAAATAGAATGACCAAAATAAGAAGGCTATTTTTTTTAAACATTTTATTAGGGGCTCATACAACTGTTATCGCAATCCATACACACATCAATTGTGTAAAGCGCATTTGTACATCATTCTCAAGACATTTTCTCTCCACTTAAACCCCAGACATTAGGTCCTCATTTTCCCCTCCCTTCCCGCTCCCACCTCCTGCGTGAGCCCTTGATAGTTTATAAATGGGTATTTTGTCATATCTTGCTTGATTTCTGTTTTCATAGAGGTTGATAACTGAGCCACCTATAATGAAATCATTGTCGTCTTCCAATTTTCTCCATTTCAAATTTTCTCCATCATATTGTTCTTCCTCAGTACAGTTATGAGGATGATTGTTACCTTCATGTCA